GGTGGGCACACTCCACCTGTGCTTGCTTAGTACATGTCCGTGTGAGAAGCCCAGTGTGGGGGCTTGGCCTTGGAGATAGGGAGGAAAGGTACCTTGTGGGCCTAGGCACTGCATCTGTCCCCAAAGTGGACACCAAAGTGGACATGTTCTCTCTCTCTCTCTGGTCTTCAGCTTCCTCACCCGTTCAGTGACTAGTACATGCCCTGGTGAGCCAAAGTCTGGCCATTCGAAAGGTCACTCGATATCAGCATGGGGCTCGGGCTGGTACATTTTCAGCATGTGCATAAAGGCAGAGTGACTGAAGCAGGGGATAAAAGGGGGTCATCCACCAAATCCTCATTTCAGGGGGTCTTGGGAAAGGGATAAACAGGAAGCTCCTATTTTCTGAAATGCCAGACTGAATTAGAAAGGGACTTAAGGGAAAAGGTGTTTCTTTTGGTGCCTAATATTGAAATCTATGTATAATTTGAATGAATTACATTTCCATGAACTTTTTGAAGTGTGTCTGTAAATTTCTCCTGTTTCTGCCCGGTGCCTACAACAGAACGTTACTCTAGAGCACTGGACATGTCATACTGTAACTCTGTGCTTACTTATCTGTCTCACTAGATTTTAATACAGGAAGAGATCATGCCTTATTCTCTGATAGATCCTCTTTTGCCTAATATGCCAAGTTATATACTGATTGGATGAAAATAATTTTTTAAAGGAATATTTGTTTACTTATTTGAAAGGCAGAGTTACAAAGCAAGAGGGAGAGTCAGAGACTTCCGTGTGTTGATGCACTCCCCGGATGGCCACACAACCAGCAGTGGGCCAGGCTGAAATCAGTAGTTTCATCTGGGTCTCTCATGCAGTGCACAAGAACCCAAACAGTTGGCCCATGTTCTACTGCTTTTCAAGGCCATTTGTAGGGAGCTAGATCAGAAGTAAGGAGCAGGGCCTGGCACGATGGCCTAGTGGTTAAAATCTTGCTTTGCATGTACCCGGATCCCATATGGACAGAGGCTCGTATCTCTGCTGCTCCACTTCCCATGCAGCTTCCTGCTTGTGGCCTGGGAAAGCATTAGTGGATGGCCCAAAGCCTTGGGACCCTGCACCTGTGTGGGTCACCCAGAAGAAGCTCCTGGATCCTGACATTGGATCAGTTTAGCTGCAGCTGTTGTAGCCACTTGGGGAGTGAACCAGTGGATGGAAGATCTTTCTCTCTGTCTCTCCTTCTCTCTGCAAATCAGCCTTTCAATTAAAAGAAAAAAAGAATCATAAAAAGCAAACAAAAAAGAACTGTCAAGCAGCTGGTACACAAACCAGTACCTATACAGCATGCTGGCCTCACAGGTGATGGCTTTATATGCAATGCCACAACAGCAGCTTCAGTAATTCTTTCTGTTAACAGCTTCAAAATGCAGAATTTTCTTAATATCTTTATTTTATAGTTCTCATTGGCTTGCAGGCATACTATACTGGTAAATAGGATAATTTCTCTAAAGTGCTTAAGATTTTTAGAGAAATTCTATATTATGCTACCAAGCATCTTAAGAGTTTATCAAATGAAACTGAGCACTAAAATTCACCATTTTACTTTCATTTAATTTACCTAAGTTGTTGCTTGGGAAAATTTGCTTCCATGGTAAGTTAGAGCCAACTGGGAATAAAGTACCCAATTTTACACAGTGCCTGGTAAATGGAAGGCATTTGATAAAACTTGACAGAGAATGAGTTGGTTAATAAAAAGTGCTCTAGGATTCACTGTCCACTACACTGAAATTAAGAACTCTATGCTTTACTGACTACCACACTTCCAATAGCACACTTTCTAAAAAAGTAAAACAGATAGAAAAACATAATGTTTCAATCTTGCATGTAAATGCATTAGTTGCTCATTGATGAAGTAGAATGTATTTCTCTTCGTTTTTCATCATTCATTGAAGTATTCAGAAAGTTCATGGAAAATGAAATTATGAGAAAACTGCAAGAATTTCAGAGTCTTGGGCATAAAATGAGCTTTTAAAAATCTGTTTTCACAGGAACTTTTTGAAGTTCCCTGTGTTGTGAGCTTTTGCTGCAGGGACTAACAACCTCACAGGTTTCCGTGATGGACTATACCATTGCCTCTTCTCATACGTGAGGGCTGCCGGCTTGCTGTGGCTCTGCTGGGCATGCATTGGCTTGTTGGTTGGGCTCCACTGCTTCTCCAAAAGCAGCCACAGATCCAAGGGGTGGGAGGACAGCGCTAAATACCAAAGCTTCTGCTGACACAGTATATGTCATGTCCACTGACATTCCACTGGCCCAAGGAAGTTACATCGTCACACTTGGCATCATAGCAGAAAGTAGGGAAAAACTCCCAGGAAGTGTTGTGATGTGGAATCAACAATAAGCACATCCAAGCTGACATTTATCAGAGCCACTATTTGGCCTTTTGAAATACTGGGGCCAGCATGGGCAGGTTAAGCAGCCACCTGCTACACAAGCATGCCATGATTCAAATCCTGGCTACTCCACTTCAGATCCAGCTCCTTGCTAATACTGCACCTGGGAAAGAAGAAGGACATGGTTTGAGCACTTGGACTCCTGCACCCACATGGGAGACCCAGAAGAAGCTCCTGGCTCTTGTTCTTGCAATAGCCCAACCCTGGCTGATGAACCAACATCCGGGGAGTGAACCAATGGATAGAAAATCTCTTTCTCTTTTAGTCTCTGTATTTCTGCCTTTCAAATAGATATTTTTTCATATATATATATATTTTAAAGCAAAAAGAAAAGCTGTTACTGTTTAAAATTGTAAATTTTGGAGTTCTGTTTATTTAATCTGAGCAATATTCATGGTTATAAGATCTTCATGAGGCTCTGTATAAATAGCACTCAGTTAAAAGTAGAGATCTGGGAGTTTTAGCAAAGGAAGAAACTTAACTTTGTAAATAGATTTTCTTGTGTGTGATGATGGTCAGTTACTTTTTTGTCTGTATATTTTCATGCCTGCAGAAAAGGATTTAAATTCAAGTGGACATATTGGGGTATAGCTACCACAAGGAATGATTTCTTGGCCAGCCAAATGAAAAAGACATGGAAGGACAAAGTTCTGCCTTAGTGGAACAATTAAATCATTTATCTGCTTGAAGGAAGGAGGCTGGCCCGATGACAGGTCTCTGCCAATTCTCTGTTTACAGGACTCTGAATTTGGAAATAAAGAAGTTCTTTTAAGACAGATGGTATTAAAATTCTTCTTACATCAGTAAGATGGCATTAAGAAATTCAGAAGCTAACTTGAAACAAAAGATGAAGAGTGAGAAAAACAGAAAAATATCATTTGGAGCATTTTCTAAGAATAACTTCTTCCGAGAACAAACACCACAGTTGCTTCTAGTTTTGAGGTATCCATTTGTTTTCCTCATACGTCCAATTGACATTTAATTAACACCTTCTGTGGACCAGGCATTGTGATACGTGCTGCTCGGGCAGGAAATGACATTTGTAGCTTAAGAGACCCAGTGAAATCAGCTATCCATGTCAAAAGCCACCATGATCCTTCCTCAGGATTTTATGCCTGTCATTTAAAAATGAGAAGTAGGCATTTCTATTGCATCTTACTACCGTTTTGGACATGCAGATGGTGAAAAACATGCCCTTCTTCTGGGGGATCACGTGAAGACGCCTTTCCTCAGGCATTGCTGAGGAACTCTGAGGCGACTTTCAAAGACGACCCATCACCGCTGACAGCAAGGGCTGCCTGTATTTGCGTTGGAGGCAGATCTGTGTACTCAGGGGCTGTTTGCTGGGGAAAGACTTAGGCAGAAGTTTCCTCAGAAGCGTCAGTGCCCCCTGGCAGAGATGCTCGGAGAGACCAACAGTTTATTTATTTATTTCTTCTTCCATAAAGGGCTGTAGCTGTGGTTCCCCCCAGGCCCCAAACGATAGAAACATGTGTCACAGCAATTGCTATGTGGCATGATCGAATCTTAACTGGTGTGCTAGCATCGGAATCTGAGTCTCGGTTAGAACCAATTCACAAGTAATCCTGGCAACCCAGCCGGCGGATCGAAGACCCCAGTCAGCCCTGCTGACTCACCTCCTCCTCCCCGCAGGGGGCCAGCAGCCGCTGCGGAGTGCCACCCTCACCCCCATTTTGTAGATTTGAAAATAGAGGCACAGGGAGGCTAAGAATTTGCACAAGGGCCAAAAGCAAAGGCAGCGTAGCTCCGGTTTCGCGCCTCTCCTCAGGCGAACCCTGAGCGCTGACGGAGAGGAAAAACGATTCCCGATGCCCGTTTCCCTTTGCTTCTATCCGCCTTCAGTGTGATTTTCCGGCTCGTCTGATCTGGAGCAGGAGTTTGTTAACTGCCTCCCTTATTTCAGGCGAAGAACTTTTCGCCGATGGCTCCTGGCGTTCCAACAGCAAAGCAGGCTTAACAATGAACGCTGATCCATTTATTACTGGAGGGAGGCTGGTTTCAGGCCTAAAATGACCAGTCTTCCTCTGAGGACAGACACATAGAACCCAGGAGCCGCAAAGCAAGCTCTGCCCCAGCCTGGTCAAAGCACTTCCCGCAGGCACGCGGGGACGCGTCCTCTTTGAGGAGAATCCGAGTTGTCGGCGGGGGCTCCCGGCTCCGGGCCCCGAGCGCGTCCCTGCGCGCGGCCAGGACAGCTCCCGCCCAGGGATGGGCGCTGCCCGCGGTCCCCTGGGCTGAGAGAGAGCGCGCGGGCGCACCCCCGGCGGCGCGCGCCCCGCGCTCTCAGGGTGCCAGGGCGCCGCCGGGGACCTGAGCCGGGCCCGGGGGAGAAGGTGCGGGAGGAGGAGGAGGAGGGGTGTGGGTGCGCAGTCGGCTGAGGAGGAAGAGGGAGGCGTGCGCGGGGGCGAGGGCCCGCTTCTCAGTCTCTGCCACCCTCAACCCCCCTCACCCTCCTCCTCCCTGCCACTCCCCCCCACCTCTCGCACCGCCACCGCCCACCTAGGGAGGCACAGGCGCAGCGGGCAGAGGTTCCCGGAGCCTACCGCGTCCCTGTCCGCCCCCGCCGCAGCCGCCGCTCCCTCCCTCCTCTGGTGCCCGACGTGCTCGTTCACCGCCACTTGGGTCGGGGCGCGCCGGTGGGTTTGGCCTGCGCGGCGGCGGCGAGGCGGGGAACGAGTGAGCGTGAGGGGCGGGCGCGAGTGTCTGTGTGAGTCACCGGTACCTGGAGTGCGAGCGACGCAGAGCCGGCGGCGCGGAGCCCGAGCCGGAGACGAGCCGGAGACGAGCCGGAGAGCCTCCGAGAGCGGCCGGCCCCAGGCGCCAGCCCCACCGCGCACCCACTCACGTCCCTGCCGCGCTCCCCTCGCGCGCGCGTTCCGTGGGCTCGCCCGTGCCCGCCGTCCTTCCGCCGACCCCGAGGAAGTGCGGGGCTCGCCGGGGGATGTCACAGCGGCTCCTCGGGGCCCCTAGTCGCCGACACCGCAGCAGCAGCCGCCGCCCCCGGGAACCGCGACAATGAATCCCCAGTGCGCCCGCTGCGGAAAAGTGGTGTATCCCACAGAGAAAGTCACCTGCCTGGACAAGGTGAGCGAGGGGGCGCGGGACTAGTCCGGATCTGCTCGGCGCCCAGCTGCACCTGCTCTGAGAAGTTTTGGCACGGGCGACCAGGCGAGCCTGAGCGGGCGACGTGTGTGCGAGCGCCTGGGCACAGGGGAGGACGCGGGAATGTCAAAGACCTGGGGTGGTCACTGTGGTGGCGGAAGCCGCAACGGTTGTAGTTGGGGAGCGCGGCTGTGTGGCGTGGGCAGAGCTGCTGCGTGGGGCGCGCAGTTCGCCGGCGAGGGGTCACAAGGCAGGGAGCGTAGGGGTTGTGCCACGCGCCCCCTCCAGCCTCCACTGTTGTCCCGCAACCATCGCCCCTCCGGCACCCTCCTTTCTCCCCCGTTTGGCACCTACGGTGCCGTGCCGGCGGTGGGGAGAGGCAAATGGTAATTAATATGTCACTGGGCGGCCGCTGCCGCAGTGCTAAGAATAATCCCCGCGGGAGCCGGGCCCACGGGAGTCTACTCCACCCGAGTGGGGAATTTCAGAGGAAGTGGCCTTGGCGGCGTTCCTCGGGCTCTGCCCCTTGCCCTTTCCGGGTGTGGATGGAGTTGGACAGACTGGGAGAGGCACCCGCATGATCCTTGAGTGACTGACAAAAGAAACCAGCAAGAGGCAGTGTCCCTGTGAATTTGCGTTGGGGGAGACAAATGCTTCGGTGGAGCAAGCTGCTATGGGACAGCGTTGGTGCGGTTTTGTGGGAGCTGGCCTGGGACTGGGGACCTATCGCCTTTACGTGGTCCTCTGCCACCCCCTCAGGCTGCCTGACTTCCGGTGGACATGTTTTCCGAGAGCCTGCGAACACTTTGAACTGGATTCTTTTTCGTTTTGAAGCCACTCCAGAGCCCCCATTGCTCCATTCACCGAGCATAGCATTCTTTCTGGTTTCTGGTTGAAGTGCGTTCTGTGCCGGTCCTGAGCTGTCCTTCCATCACGAGTGTCCGCTGTGGTGGGATTGATTTAAAACACAACTTTAATAGCTGCCTGCTGTGTTTATTTAACTGGAAGTAGTAATGCACCTGCAAGCCTTTTGTGGTAGTGTTGTCAGGTACCCACACTGTCATGCACAGCCAGTTTTTTGTAATCATCATGGTCAGAGTTGACATTGTACTAACGTTTTGACTGTTGACTTTCCCTCCCCCAGTATTGGCATAAAGGATGTTTCAATTGTGAAGTCTGCAAAATGGCTCTCAACATGAATAACTACAAAGGCTACGAGAAGAAGCCCTATTGTAATGCGTGAGTATCGTCAGTGTGGCGTGCCAGGTGTGCACAGCACTCCGGCATGGAAGCAGTGGTGGACCTGTCTGTTCTGGAGAGCTGCCTTCCCATGTCAGCCGGGTGTGGCAGTGGCCAGTTGTCTGTTTATGCCACTGACTCTGGGGCCCGTGTACTTTGTTGAAGGCTTCTGTCTCTATGTCTTTCTCATGTGGAGGGTAATTAGTGTGTGTATTCCACCAGGTAGGTTTTGGAGATGCACAGCTTTGCAGAGTTAGGACCATTGATTAGAAACTGCGGAATTTACCCATGGAAGAATGTGTGGGCCCTGATGTGTGTCAGGTAGATTTCCATTTTAATCATATGTTAATTTCCATTTTAATAATAGGATGTTGTCATACTGTGATTTTGTGTCTGAACTCAGTTGCTAGGGAAGAGAGTCTCGCTTGCTTGGTCTTAGGTGGGAGCACTGTGGAGATCCAGGAGCTTAAATAGGAAACCAAAGGTTTGAGACACAGCTCCTCCTGGCTGCCAAGTAGCAGTTGTGTTGTGTTGGGCCTACTGTGCTAGGCTGGGTTCTTTCTCCTGGTTAGCAGTAGGTGAGCATAGGAGAAGGCAAGCTTTCTAGTTTCTAGTCTAGAAGCGATGAGCCACCATTGAATGCTTTCGGTGTGGCAGACCAGACCAAGTTTTGAGCACTTGATGCACACTGCCTCATTCAATCTTGACAACCACTCTCTGGGTTAGGGGACACTATTATTACTCTCATGTGGTAGATAAAGAAATTGAGGCATTGCAAGGGAGGCCTCAGGAAAGGGCTTGGATCTCTCCTGGAGACAGCAAGCCAATCCAGCTTGGCCAGTCTGAATGGCTGCTTCCATTCGTGGCTGTCTGCTTTGTGTTTCTGTATTCAGATGAGATGGCTGAGCCATCTTCTTTCCTGTTCTGTGAGGCCGGCCTGGCCTGGAGGCGGCGAAAGACTTCAGGACCCATGTCCTTTTGGCTGAAATGTTGCCAGAGCTTCCTCCCCCTAGAATTTTGGAGGTAGATTTGCTCAGGGCTGCTGGGGAAGGAGGGCCAGCTGTGATATGTGTGTTCATCATGTATTGCTATCCTGGTACCATCCATGTCCATTTGGGGCAAGCCAATACAAGGAGATCCTACTTCTCTGGTGAAGAATTTTAAACACTTTTTAGTTTTTGTGTTTCCTCACATTCTAGCTTAATGTTTACACGTATACCAACAACTTTTAGAGAAATCAGAAAATGCTTTTTTTTTTTTTTTTTTTTGGCATAGGTGAAATCCACAGATAGTCCCTAAAGTTTTTGATGCTTTTGTCCCTCCCATCCCATTCTATGCCTCTTAAGGCAATAATGTGAAGCAAACATAAAATTTTAGGGTCTTGGTCTCCTGCTTCCTTTAAGAAAAAGTATAAATGACTGGTCAAAGATCAAAGGCAGGTGGCAATAAGGAGAAAATAAAGGGCCCCTATGAGCCATAAACAGAATTGTTCTTTGGTTAAAGGAAAGCAAACCCTTCTTCTGAAGCTTGGTTTGATCTGGCTTTATGGGCCACATCAGGATTCTTTACAGCTCAGTCCCCCTTGAATTTAACTCTGGTGCTCACAGTGTCTTTGGGTGCCCCTGGTCGGTCTGGAGGGAGTAGAAGAAAGAGCAAAGGGAGAGAGAGAGAGAGAGAGAAGCGGGGGGCGGATCCTACTTCCAATAAAGCTAGCCAGCTAGGCTGGGTAGTGAATTGAATAAGGGAGGCTGGTGCACCCAGGAAGCAGCAGATGACGCTCAAGCATTTGGGTTCCTGTCACCAGCCTGGGAAGCACTAAGTGAGTCCTTGGGTGCTGGCTTGAGCTCATCTCAGCCCTGGCTGCTGTGGCTGTTTGTGGGGATGAACCAGTAGACGGAAGATATTTCTTTATGTCTCTATCTCTTCTTGTCAGTCTGCATTTCAGATAAGCGAATGAAGCTGCAAAAAACAAAAAGACAGGGAAAGAGGCAAAGTGAATACATTGTATTGGGATGCTTGAAAATTCAGTGGCTTCTGCTTAGTTCAAGTTCAGTCCAGTTGCACAGGAGTGTCCCATTCTGTAGCACGTCATGGATGCGTCAGAAAGGGCTAGTCACCATTCTAACTTCACAGTGAATTGGTGCCCTGAGACGCTGAGATTCGGACCCCGAAACGACTAAGTTTTGTAAAGAAATACCCTCTTGAGGCTTCTGAGCCTGCAGTTTAAATATCTTTTAGGTATCTTTATGTTGAATATTCAGAGATTTTTCTGTCTAAAATTAAGTACTTACATTATTAGTTTTAAGGCAGAGTTTGGGAGTAGCTCCTCAGATTTTTTTCCCCTCCATATTTGCATCTGTTTGTTATGGAGCAGCTAGAAAGAAGCCAGGAATTCATCCTCAGAGGGTGAATGAGTGGGGAGTGGATGTTTTAGATTTATGTAATTTAGCTATAAGCTTCTGTCATGGGTGCAGAAAATGAAACCTGGCAGGTTGCAGATTTTGTCAGCTATGGGGTTCCATGCGGTGAGACTCTGTTGTTCTCAACTCTGGTTTTTGAAGGGCACTTGCGTCATGAAGCTCCCAGGGCAGAGTGGATTGCCCCTGGGGATCCGGAAGTGTCTGCTCTGACTCAGGTGGTGTCAATCAGCCAGTCCCTGTGGTCGGACCAAGGGCTGCCATCATTTCTCTGGGTCAGTGGTGGAAAATTGATTCTCTGATGCATATTGCTACCAGACGATGCAACATTCACTGTCCATGGAAAGGCGCCTGTTAGTTCTGTCTCGTTTGGATCGGGAGGCAGTGTACATCCAGGCCTCAGTGAGAACGACTCCTCTTCTTGTCCGTTCCCCTGGCCACTTTATACTGTAAAATAGTTTTACACCCACAGGAATGTCTTGGAGTTGAAGGAATAGTCCTGTTGTCTTCTGCAGCTCAGTTTCAGCCCCTTCCAGGTGCTGTGTACCCAGATTTGTGGATGTTCAAGCACCTTATTTGCACTAGCTTGGATATATCCTCCTGTATATTCCAAATTATTTCTGTGTCACTGAAAAACATCCAGCAAAATGCAAATGCCCTGTAAATGGTTGGTATCCTGCATTATTTACAGAATAATGATGAGGGAAGTCATATGTCTATGATTTTCCAGATGTCAATGTTTTTCTGAATATTTTTGATCTGCAGTTGGTTGAATCTAGATATACAAGCCCTGAATTCACGTGGATGTCCTCTGCTGAGAATCATTTTGTATCTTGCCCCATGTTTGCTGCACGTTTCTGCCCTGCCCCCCACCTAATCAAACATATAAATCGTTTTTGTTGAGCTGTTTGTCATTTTTTTTTAAAACAAAGGTTTATTTGATATTGATTGGAGAGGCAATATTATGAGAGGAGAGACTTAGAGTTCTTCCGTCTGCTGGTTCACTCTGCAAATGGCTGCAATGGCTAGTGCTGAGCCAAGCCAGGAGCCAGCAGCCTCCTCCACATGTCTCATATGGATGCAGAAGCCCAAAGACTTAGGCCATGCTTTTCTGCATTCCCAGGCCATAAGCAGGGAGCTGGATGGCAAGTGTAATATCTGGGACTTGAACCTGGCACGCATGTGGTACCAAAGGCCTGGCTTACTATGTCACTGTGCTGGTCCCTTAGCTTTTTGTCATTTTTATACCTTAAGTGAGCTTCAAACACCATGACTTCTTTTTCTGTAGAAATTATATCATATGCACCAAAAATAAGACATTCTCTTAAAGAATCAGAGTAGTACTGGCATTGTGGGATACTGACACCTGTGATGTTGGCATCCAATGGGGCAACCGTTTGAGTCTTTGCTGCTTCATTTCCCATCCAGCTCTCTGTTAATGCACCCGGGAAAGCAGTGGAAGATGGCTCAGTGTTTGGGTCCCTGTCCCCTATGTGGGAGACCTGGATGGAGTTCTAGACTTCTGGCTTCAGCTTGGCATAGCCCTGGCTGCCATTTCAGGAGTGAACCAACAAACGGATGATCTGTCTTCCCTTCACCAGACCCTAGCCTTTCCCACTCACTCCCGTACTTCCCTCCCACTGCACAGAAACGCTGCCTTTCTAATAAATAAGTGAAAAATATCTACGGAAATTAAGAAAAAAATTCACAATGTCCAATATTTGCCTTTCTCTTGTTGTCCTAAAGATGTTTTCAAAAAAATTTTTAAAAACCAGATCCAGACAAGACTCATACTTTAATTTGCTTAGTTTGAAAATGACAGCTTCTTGTGGCCATTGGAGATTACTCCTTTTTCACTGTCATATCTATTGATTTGTGTAACCTCTCTGCATTTTCAGGAAGAAAGACATAAGCAGCATTTTTTTGGGGGAAGTGACATACATAATTAAACTGAGAACCTTTAGGAGAAGTATTAAGAACATGTTTGAAAACTGGAAAGCATGCCCAGAGACATGTAAAATTTACTTTAAGAAACCATAAAGGCTCTAATTTTAATCGATACCTGAGGGCATTTTTTAAAATGGAATAAAGTAGTTAAGTACTTCTTTGGTAACTATGGTGCTTGTTTATATTCTCATGTGTTTAGAGAAGAAACAAGCATTCTGTTTGATTTCACGCAAAGGAGAACATGTATAAAATATAATGTACATGATATTTAAATTATGATCTTTTGATAGAGCAATCAAAGCATAGTCTGTACATTAGATGTAAGACCAAGCATAATACACATTGAGTTCCTAACGCAGCAGTGCACACTATTAAAATATTTAAAAACAAACTGGTCTACTTGAGTACGTGCCATGTTTTCATAAGCCTTTATGTTTCATAAGCAGGCAGTGGATTCTTCAGCACATTCAGATTTTTTTTTTCATCATGGAAATTGCAATGGAAAGAGGACTAAGCAATATATTTATTGCTAAGAGGTGCTGAGAAAATAAGACCAGATGATTAAACAAAACCATAGCTCATATTTATGTGCGAATCATATGCCAACTTAAACTGTAAACATTTTGCTACCCAGTA